CCAATTAAGCAGAGGCTCTGGTACCTCATGCATTACTTAACATTTAGGAATTGCTTCCAAAACAAAAAACAACAACAACAACAAAAAAAAAAAAACGATTTAGGGGCAGAACAAATGTGCTTGGCATGATGATGACTGTTATGGAACGATGACTGAAGTACTGATATTGTTAAGTTGGCACATGGGGGCCATTACTGTTACAAATCCAAACACTTGAATTTGCTAATTTAAGAACACAGGAACTCTGCTCACTGCTGATGCTCCCTCCGCCCTTGTGGACCAGTGACCATGATCCCCAGGGAAGAAGGAGACCCATGAAGGTTGGTTGGCTTCATTGTTTTTCAGCCTATGGCAAAGCTGAAACATTATGATGGGAAAAAAAATGGAAGCCTCTGGAAAGAAGAGAGACGACAGACAGAGGGTGAGGAGAGAGAGACTGAGACTCTTCAGAGACACTCCTCCAGTGACCTACTTCCTTCACTAGTTACCAAGCCCATTCAACTGCGAATTCATCAATACATTAACCAATTTATGATGCTAGTATTCTCATGATCCAATCACACCTCAATAGCTAGGTCCACTAGCTGAGGACCAAGCCCAAGGGAAGAGTTTAGCTGAGTTTCAGATCCTTTTGGTTAGAAGATTTTGTGGTCCAGCAAGTAAAGTAGAGGGAATTTTAGTGAATGAAAAAATGAGGATATGGTGCTCCAAAGTATGGTTGAGGAGAAGGTTTATTGTAGCTATGAGGGAGAGCACAGCCAGAGGCCTCTGGAAGGTCCAGATTGAACACGGCTGGCCGACTGAACATGAACTGCTGTGAAGAGACACCTTGACCATGGCAACTCTTATAAAGGAAAACATTTAAGTGGGGGGTGGGAACTAGCTTACAGTTTCAGAGGTTACAGTCCATTATCATCATGGTGGGACATGGTGGCATGCAGGCAGACATGGTGCTGAAGAAGTAGCTGAGAGTCCTACATTATGCAGGCTACAGGAAATGGACTGTCTCACTGGGCGTGGCTTGAACATATATGAGCCCTCAAAGCCCACCTCCACAGTGACATACTTCCTCTACCAGACCACACCTACTCCAACAAGGCCACACCTCTTAATAGTGCCATTCCCTTTGGGGGCATTTTCTTTCAAACCACCACAAGCACCAAAGAGGTCACATAGCCAAAGCTTGAGGGCTGGAGAGGTTTAGGGTAGGGAGTGGAGTGTGCTAGCCAGGGTGACTCTAACAGGTACTTGCATTGCTGAGAACCTGGCAGCTGACGTCCCTTCGATATTTTATATAGGCACCTCAGTTAGGCATTTGTGTTAGGCGTTTGAGACCTAACGCCTGAGGACAGGAGGATGGCTTTGGAGTCAAGATGCTGCCGCACAGTTGTTAGCAAGTGATTTTCCCCAAACTATTTTACCGAGTCTATGTGACTAGTCAGTGTTAGAACATGGGTCTATACCTTTAGGCTAGATCCTACAGCCTGGGTCTGTCCCGCCTCCTTAAAGCTTTCTCTGAGAGAGTGAAGAAGGAGCAGTCTGTAGCTGGCTCTTCTTCCTTTGTCACATTACTATGCTGAAGTAAACTGAGTGAAGTAGAACTTCTTGCTGTTATGCCCAGATCTCAGGGACTCTTCAAAGACCACCATGAAGACTGACTCCGTATGCAAAAGCAAAGAGCCTTTATTCAAGCTCGAGCTTGGGCTCTCCATCTGTCCGACACAGTGATGAGAACAGAGAGCTCCAGGCCCAGTTGGGGTAGGGTTTTTATCATAGCAGAGGTTGGAGTGAGGGGATTTCCAGGGTTCAAGACCCTGATTAGCTGACATTTTTCTAGGGATATCTTGGTGAAAGGCGACAGGTGTGTGCTGGGCTAAGGAACATCTGGTGATCTTAGCTATAATGGTCAGAAATGTTTGAGAATGTCAGGTACTTTCCTCTTAGGTTGGAATTTTAGTTATTTTCCCCCTGGATGCTGATTGGCTCATCCCTGGGTGATGGCAGTTTGTGGTTTTTCCTGGAACTGGGTGTTGCCTTACAGTAAACTGAAACTAAGGCCTACTCTCTGGTTGGTTTTTTAAGCCTGCCATGGCAGCAGTGTAGCCAAGCTGCCCTGGGTCCCACGCTTGCCATCCCTAAAAGGCTATAAAAAGTTAGCTCAGTGGATTTGTAGGGGTAGACTCTTCAAGGGCTGCAACCTAGAGAGCCTCTTCTGGCCTCCCATAGCCATCCCTCATGGCGGCTGCTCTCTGAGAGGACTGAGCAGACGCCATAACAGGCTGCCCAGCCTTCTATCAAGAGATCAGGCCTCAATTTCAGTTTCCTGAGACTGGACAGGCAGTTTCTGAGGAAGAGCCACAAAGGGCAATTAATCACTGGTGTCTCTGACAACAGGGACTAGGGAGATAGGTAGCACCAAGTCTGGGCCACTGAGCCAGCCCCCATAGTCAGTATGTGCAAGAGCAGCCAACCTCCACGGCAGCTCAAGGACAACGCCTGGGACTCATCCAGGCCTGCCCCAAAATGGATAACTGTAGCCATGACAAACCCCCAACTAACCCTAGCCAATTAAAAGTTACTAACATGATTGACACTCACATAAGCCAATCATATCTAAGATGAGCTAACTTCCTTGGACACTCCCCTTAGTTAGGCTTAAAAAGAGCCCACACACCTCTCCCGGGGTCATTGCCATCTTGCTTTCTTCCAAATACAGATGAACTTATACTAGAAGTATCATTTATTGGGGTAGGATGTTGGCTCAGTGGTTAAGAGCAACTGATGCTCTTCCAGAGGACCCAGGTTCAATTCCCAGCACTGACAAGGTGACTCACAACCACCTCTAGCTCCAGTTCCAGAAGAGTCGATGCTCTCTTCTGACCTCCACAGGTGTTGCATGTATGTGGTTCACAGATGTACATGTAGGCAAAACAGCCACACAGTTAAAGTAAAAATAAATAAAAATCTTGCCAGGTGGTGGTGGTGCACTCCTTTAATCCCAGCACTCGGGAGGCAGAGACAGGCAGATCTCTGTGAGTTCGAGGCCAGCCTGGTCTTCAGACTGAGTTCCAGAACAGCCAAGGCTACACAGGCCCTGTCTCAAAAAAAACAACAAAAGAATCTTTAAAAGTTAAAAATTACTATTTATCATTGAGGCTGAAGTGGAGATAGCTAGGTGATAGAGCACGTGCTCAGTACACATGAGGCTCTGGGTTCGAGTCCCAACACTGCCCCAAACTCAGGGCTGAAGAGTAATTGACATGTATTCTAGGTTTCCTGAGCTTTATTTGCTGAACTTGGCCATTGGATTCCTGGAGACATAGGACTCATCTCAAAGATATGCTGCGTATTAGAGCTCACATCTGGGGAAATGTTTTAAAAGGACACAGTCTATAATGCAGGTAATGACTTTTCCTTTAATGTGATTCATGATAATTTGACAGCTTTCAAATCTAACTCAGATTCAAGGTTGCAGTCTTCACCCGCTAGCCAAATTGGTGGAATAGGGGAGTCTCCTGTACGGAAGTAGAACCTGAGTGTCATCTGAGGTGCTAGAAGCCGTGGTTCTTGAAGTATTTGGCTCGCGCAAGGACATCATTGCAGAAGTCACAGTTTAGATCCTGGTTGCTTCGGACAAAGGTCGGACCCTTACTGTAGGCACAGAGTCCACCTGAAAGTCACGTGACAGGTTAGTCCTCACCCAGCTTGAGGGTACTCACCAGTAAGCTCAGATTCCCTCTCCCAGCTCAAGGCAGCTGTGGCCTGAGAAGTCTAGTTTTTATTAAGAGACAAACATTTATCTCTTAATTCCAGGCCGTGAAACAACTGGCCAAGAGTGGAACACATACCTCTCAGGTACTGGTCAGGGGTCCAGCTAGGAAACCTTGCCTGGACTTCTTTGATTTTAGATGTCAGGATCTCAGTTTTCTGGGAAACCCAGGAATCACTCTTCCAAGATGTGGGAGGGTAGAAGCTTGAGTCCTAGAGGGAGGGAGGCAGAGGAAAAGCCTGGTGAGTATCCTCGGCTGAAGGAGCTACTCTTTCCTCTCCCTTCTGTTCTTCTTCCACTCCCCATCTCCCCGGAGGTTAAGTGGAGATGCTACATGCATCTAGGACTTAAGAATTACTGTCCAAAACACTTAAGGCCAATGTTGTCAAGGACATGGAAAAGTTGGAATCCTGTGCACTGTTGACGGGAATGCAAAATGGTGTCACAACCATTGACAAAAATAAACTACAGGGTTTAGGCTGAACAAGGGCAAGCAGTCATTTCTCCATTGCCCCACTATAGCAGATAGAGTCAGAGGCCAAGACAGTTAATGCATGCAGAATGCAGTGAGATGCCCTTCCTCCATGCCGCGACTCTCAACTCCAAACAAAGCAGGAAGGGATCCTGCCTGTGCTTCAGGCCCCTTTGCAGGTGATCAGAATGTCTGGAGGTGACTCGAATCCTTCTTGGATGCCATAGGTATTTCATAGAGATCTCATCGGCTCGAGGAGAAAGGACTGAATTTAGAGGATTCTTATCTCATCCCAAAAGAGATGGACTGATCCTTCCCCCAAGGAACAGATTTTACAAAAGAGAAAAATAAGGGAAACCGGGGACGTAGATGTCATCATTTCTAATGGCACAAGGTGTCCTTGGGCCAAGCATTCTCTTTGCCAGAGTAACTGACAACAGGGTCTCCTCTGTGGGTCCTGTTTTCTCATGGCTTGCTGCCCCATCTCATCAGATTATTGAATAAATCCATAAGTCAAAATGAGGTACTTTTTTTCCCTAGTGCTCTGTGTAGCACTAGCTGTCCTAGAACTCACTCTATAGACCAGGCTGGCCTCAAATTCACAGAGATTCACCTATCTCTGCCTCCTAAGTGCTGGGATTAAAGGCGTGCGTCACCACTGCCCGGCCAGAAGGTACTTTTTAATCAAGGTTTATTATATGTAGTCAAGAGAAGCCAATTCCGAGATCATTAAGGAGTAAATTATCCTAAAAGCTTGAAAACAACATACTGCACACAAGTTTCTCAACAGAGAAGCAACAGGAAGCTCCATCCTCATTTTTACCCTGGCCCCCAACAGTGGCTCAGCCCCCCCCCAAAAAAATCTCTGATGAGTGATATTGGGTCCAATCAGTACAAGAATAAAACTCAACCCTCAGAACTAAGAGTTATAGAGAGAGAAGACAAGGAAAGGAGAATGTAATATTTTTAAGAACCTACCAAACATAGCTACTTTTTTTTTATATTATTCCATTGACTCTTTATAATTCTATTGGAATGGCCTTTAGGAGCTGGAGTAGAGATCAGCAGTGGAGCACCTGCTTAGAGCACACAAAATTGAACTCCCCAGCACCGCCAAGAGCAAAATGGAATTCTACAGATAGGGCAACAGGCCCAGTGAAGTAAAATGACCCCTTCAAGGTCACACAAAGACGACAGAACAAAGATGCAACTTGTGGTCTTTCTCATGTGCCTCATGGGGGACCCCACAGCAGTGTGTATCGGGTGGTGTGTCCTGGGGGATGGATCCTGGCAATAAAGCAATATTCACTCTGACGAGAAACTGTGGCTCCAAGTGCAGTGGAAATGGTACCAGAATTGCTGTGGCCCTCACAAACCCCAGGCGGCACTGTTCACTCACTATTCCGCACCACTGTGCCATCTGCAGTGAAACCATACTCATGTTCCCTTGGAGCTGTGTCACAAAGCAGAAGGGCCACATTCTCTGTCTGTCTGTCTGTCTATTTGTCTTTCTGTCTCTGTCTCTCTCTCTCTGTGTGTGCATGTGTGTGTATGTATATGTATGTGTATGTGTATGCATGTGTGTGTACGCGTGCGCATATTCACATGGAGTGCATGTGGGGGGGGTGTGCATGTGTGTAAGCATGCCTGTGGAGGCCAGAGATCAACATTGAATATCTTCTTCAATCTCTTACTGTACGTGGAGCTCACTGATTCATCTGGCTGGCTAGCAAACTCCAGGAATCCACCTGCCTCCACTTGGAGAACACAGCCTTGAGATTACAGGCACACACCACCATGGCTGGCTTTCCAAATGGGTGTTGGAGATCTGAACCTAGGTTTTCACGCTTTTCCAGGAAGTACTTTGCCTGCTGAGCCGTTTTCCCAGCATCAAAGCACCTTGACTGAAGGAGCATTACCTGTATCACCCCGATTCCATTACCCATGTTGCCCATGTCGACCACGAAATTGCCACCCTGAGACTCCCTTGACAAGACACCAGCGATCACTGCAGGATCCATACAGTATTTCCGGCCAACAATTCTCATCGTGGGTTGGTATCTCAGAAGATATGGCCTGTCTATTTCAGCCAGCCTTTCAGAGGCACGGACTCCTAGAGCAAACACAAAAGGAAGTATGTGGCTGAGGGTGATTTAGGCTTGGACTTAGGCCTGTGACTGAAAATCCCAAATTTAAACCCCTAGTAGTCATTTCCTGACCTCATATTTTAAGACCTTTTATGTTAAGCAGAGTCAACACCCCATGCATCTCCTGATGTTAGAGATCTCTGTGGCCACCAGTGGCCGTGAGCTAAGCTCGGTCCCTTCCATGACAATTCTGTAGGCACCACTGGTCCAATCCTAAGCACCCCAGAGAAGGTTTCTCAATAAACTGCATCATGCCACGGCAACAGGTCACCGTGTGAAGGAGAAAGTCTCCTAACCCTTCAGTAAGTTTTTGGTAAGACCCCTTGGTAAAACACCTGGACAATTTTGCTCACAACTGCCCAACTGTCTACTCTTATGTAGTGCCAATAAATCACATAATAAGAAAATGATGACGATTTACATGGGAGAGCCTTGGTTCTAGTTTCTTCTACAGTTCAAGAAGCACTCTCACCCCATGATAGAGAGTTGACAAAAACTCTGTAAAGATGGATATCTAACTCCAGGAGGGACTTGAAAAACTACGTGACTTGTTTAAGAAGTAGAGCCTGAGCTCTCAGAAGGGTTTGGACTCCGTGATGAGTGCTCTTTCCTTCCACGCCTTAGTGTAGGACCGTGAGAAACAGTAGGAGTCAAGAGGAAATTGTAGACACAGAGATTGTTAACTACCACAGTAGGGCAGGCCATGCCGTCTTCCAATCACGCAAGATGCTCCTGGGGTGTTCAGGGTTCGGATGTTTCCATAGCATCCCCAACTGCTGCTTTCAGAGGAGCCTGCAGATTGAGAAAGGTTCAGCCTGGGGGACTGAGCTAGAAGGCTGTGAATGAATTACATCATTAAAAACAACTCGGATAAAATCAGTGAGAGCTAGAGCACCACGCTACATGTCACCCTCTTTTGAAATTTAGGTAGTAGGATCACAACACTGCTTTGATTCTCAGTTTTCACCTCCTTTCCTGCAGACACAAAAGGAACTGTTGGAGCAGTTCCTTCTCTGGAAAGCTCAAGGGCTGTCTCATAGCTCACTGTATGGTGAGGTATTCATGTTTGCATGTATTAAAGCATGTATTTTAAGGCTAGAGTCTTCCTGTCATCTCCACTCAGACCCAAAGTGAAGGTATTGTCTATAAACAGAGACTGGGATTGGCTTCAGCTTCTCCCGGAGCATTCTGGGCAAGGGGCAAAGGTAGCAAAGAGACTGTGTGCAGACGAGTCATAGGATCCGGAGTCTATATGAGGTGCCCTCTTTCTGCATCTTTCTTTTCTGTCTTGTGTCTGTCTCCCAAGAGATCTGTGGTAGTCTAGTCATCACTGAATGTGAGGCATTGCTTTCATTAATTACTTGACTAATTAACTAATGTTTTTCGAAACGGGCTTCATGCAGCCCAGATTAGCCACTGTGTAGGCAAGGATTGTCTTGAACTCCTGGTTCTCCTGTACCAACCTCCCAAGTACTGGGATTGCAAGTGTGCAATGAGCAGCCAAGTCCAGGATCCCTCTTGTCTTGGCCTGCCAGTGTAATCCAAGCCACTATGCCTTGATTCTTCCATAGGTGAGGATCAAACTCAGACCCTCGTACTTGGCTGGCAAGCACGTTTACCAGTGGTGTCATGTCCCTAGGCTCGAGACAGTACTTGCAGAGTAGATTTTATTCTTTGAGTAAAGTAAGTTATATTATTCACTCAACGACAGTCAGTTCTTGGGAATTCTATCTACGGCATGTCATCATATGAGTCCTGCATGTTTACGTAAATGCATTTTAGGATTCTATGTTTTTTTTTAATATGTGTGTATGTGCGGGAGTTTATGTGCATCACATGCAAACAGGAGCCTGAGGAAGCCAGAGGAGGGGATCGGATCCCCTGGAACTGGAGCTACAGGTGCTTGTGAGCTGCCAGGTGGGTGCTGAACCCAGGTCCTCTGCAAGAGCAATAAGTGCTTTTCACTGCTGAGTCACCTCTCCATCACCGGGTTCTGTTTTTATAACAGCTTCACGGCACTGACATCTGAAAATCCTAGTGTTTTGAAGTAGATGCTTCTACTCCATAGATGTGGATGAGTTAATCTGAGAGAAATGTTATTTGTGGAAAGATCTGGTGATTTGTGAATACATTCAAAGTAAAAAATTAAGCAGGGAACAAGGACATGGAACTGTGAGTGAAATACACCCTTTCCTCTCAAAAAAAATTAAGCAGGTGTCCTTATTAATGTCTCAGCCAGTGCATTTCTGTTTTCATGATTGTTGACAAATGCCCAATGTGGCAGTTGATTGTGTTACTGCTCTCTCGCTCACAGACCTTTCCCTAACCACACTACATCATTCTGCAGTTACTTATATTCTCAATGCTTTGCACCTTGTAGTAGCTTTCACATATTGGTTGAATGAATCAGCACATATATAGCAAATAGTAAATAAATGAATATTTCAAATCAAAAACAACAAATACTTCTACTTTTTGCCCTAGCTGCAATCAACGTTAGAATCAAAGCTGAAATTAAAGACTGTGACTATGTGCCCCCTGGCTCCATCACATCTGGATTCTCTTAGGGCTGCTTTTCTCATTGAATTATGTTAGTCATATGGCAACCACCTCCATCTCTCTTTGGAAACACATAGTCTCTAAACAAATTCAGTATTATGGTGTTTGATGATTGATCTTTATTGTCATGTTGGTGGAGATTCACAGTCACCATGGACGCAAATCCCTCATAGGTCTGTGAGGGATTATCTAGAGTAATTGAGCCAGGAAGACCTACCCTAAATGTGGGTGGTAGCCTTTCATGGACTGCTGTTCTGGACTGAATAAAAAGGAGAAAATAAATGGAGTACCAGCATCTATCTCTCTCTACTCCCTGATGATAGATGTTATGTGACCAACCACCTCAAGTTCCCACTGCCATGACTTCCCTGCCATGATGGACTATAATCTCAAGTTTAGCCCTTTTTTCCTCAAATCTCTTCTGTCACAACAACGAGTAAAGTAACTAACACGGTTTAAGAGGTTTTATAGTGGCAATGAGCAGTTACAATGATGAATATTTAAAGCCTGGTTTCAAGTAATGTTGTTTCAAGTGCACATGAATTAGAGGGAACCCCCATCCTTTTATGGGACTCTTGGGGCAGGCTGCTTCTCAGTAGTTACTCCTAACTCCAGGATTTACCAGACATCCTAGGAGAAAAATAATGCTTTCCCCATAGTTACATAAATGGAAGATGTGGCATTGCCTTTCTGTGCTTTTTTTCTGCCCATTTCCAAGTTATTTGGGGAAAAATGAAACACACTCACCAGTCAAGGCCAGGAGGCCCAGGAGCAGCCACAGTGGAGACATGTTGAGTAGCTGGTTCTACGGCACCTGAAATGCTTTTAAAATCAAAATTAGTTTAAAGGTATGAAACGTCAATCATTGTCATAACAGCACACTATTTCTATGGGGATTGTGAATGGAATGAGTTCCCCACATACAAAGTAGAAAATGGGTGATTGGAATCATAATGGAGAAGCAAAAATTGGACAGGTGCATCATTTAGCCTTTTAATTGATCCGTGGGAATGCTGAGATATTTCAATTCTCAGCACTGAGAAACACCATGACCCAACTTGTGATGCTGAAAAGCAATTTACATTATCCAAATCTAAAATGAAAAGCAGAATTTTGTATTGATAGTTTCCATGAATTGGGCACTTTTCTCTTCAGGTTGGAGAAAAGGACACACCTTCCTCAGTGCTATAGACTATACCCTGATTCTTTTTTTTTTTTTTTAATATACCCTGATTCTTTACAACACGTAAACATGCAGGACTCATATGATGACATGCCATAGATAGAATTGGATGAAGGGAGGAGGGGGAAGACTTGCCCTATTGCTCTGGTCCCCATTCCGGGGAATCCCAGACCCCCTGGGGTCCCTTGAACTGTGTTTTCCTCAGTCTCTTTTTGTGGCACTCCTGGGTCAGAACCCAGGGAGGGTGGACAGACAGGCCCCAGGAAGTAGGTCATGGGCAGGGCCGCAGGGTTGGAATCATGAGGTGTGCACTCAGCTAGAGAACCAGTAGTGAGGACCATCAAGCATGTGCTGCCATGATGACTCTCTTCCTCACCCCAACCAGTTCTTCCAGAAACTTCCCTGCCACCATGTACAAGCAGTCATGGTTCCCTCTGACTACCACACTACACGAATGTCACACACCACACCCATTACAGGTGCTTCCCATCATCTCCCCTGGTCAGCAGAGCCTGGGGACCTGTCATTTTGAATCTCTCTCTCTCTCTCTCTCTCTCTCTCTCTCTCTCTCTCTCTCTCTCTCATTTAGTCATTTATTTGGTGATGGGGACAGAATCCAGACCCTCCTACATGCTAGGTAAATCCTCTCTATTAAGTTACATCCCAATCCCTCTTTTAGGTTTATTCCTATATATGGGTTCTTCCCAACATCCAGGATGAGGTGTCCCCAGGTGGAGAGGCATTCAGGAAGTAACCCGATTTCCATCTTGACAAACTGAGAGAGCATGTGGCCATACAGCAAGCCATGCTTCCTACTTATCTTTCCTTACAGCATTGAAATGGTCTGTCTGATTTCCCTTGGCTCAGTAGAAAATGTTGTGTTCCAGCTGGGAAGTGGTGGCACACGCCTTTAATCCCAGCACTCGGGAGGCAGAGGCAGGCAGATCTCTGTGAGTTTGAGGCCAGCCTGGTCTCCACAGTGAGTTCCAGGAAAGGCGCAAAGCTACACAGAGAAACCCTGTCTCAAAAAAACCAAAAAAAAAGAAAAAAGAAAAAAAAGAAAAAGAAAAAAGAAAAAGAAAGAAAGAAAGAGAGAGAGAGAGAGAGAGAGAGAGAGAGAGAGAAAGAAAGAAAGAAAGAAAGAAAGAAAGAAAGAAAGAAAGAAAGAAAGAAAGAAAGAAAGAAAGAAAGAAAGAAAGAAGAAAAGAAAATGTCATATTCAGTGACCAGAAATATTTAGAAACTTGGAATATTAGCTGCACCTGCAGGAGCATTCAACTTTCTTCCCCCAACAGAAACCATGTATTCAGCATTTCTGGTCTCTGAGGAGTGGATGTAAGAGAGGAAGTGAATCTCCGAAAAGAATTGGAGAAAGAGGGGCTGGAGAGATGGCTCAGGGGTTAGGAGCACTGGCTGTTCTCCCAGAGGACCTGGGTTCAATTCCCAGCACTGGTGTGGCAGCTCACAACTGTCTGTAACTCCCTTTCTAAGAGATCTGACACCTTCACACAAATGCACATTAAATAAAGTTAATTATTTAAAAAAAAAGGAGAAAGAGCTTAGGTACAAAAAGATCATTCGTAGTCTCACAAAAACATGCCCTTTCTCCTAGTTTGATTCTGTTGCTGTGGTAAATGCTAAGACCAAAATTGATTTGGAGAAAAAAAGGGTGTATTTCATGTTGCAGCTTAAAGTCCATCACTAAGGGGCATTGGGGACAGGAACTCAAACAGGGCAGAACTCTGGAATGGCATGAACTTTAGGCAGAAACCGTACAGGCACACTGGCTTGCCCTCAAGTTCACATTCAGCTACCTTTCTCACACAGCCCAGGACCACCTGCCTAGGGATGGCAGTGCCCACAGTGGGCTGGGCCTCTCACATCCATCTTTAATCAGGAAAATGCCCCTGCCCCAGACACGCCCACAGGCCAATCGGCTGGATTGAGTTTCTCAAATCTTCTTTAGCAGGGGTTCTCTCTTCCTAGGTGGGTTAAGTAGATAACCAAGATTAGCCATCAGCTTTATGGAGATATCTCATCAGCTTCATGGAAAGGTTCTTTAGAAAAACAGCCCTGCTCTCACTCAAATGCTGACCTCAGAACATTTCAACTGTTTTTGCTGATTTTCCAGGAAAGGAAGATGCTTCCTATTGGAAACCCAAGAGGAAAGACATAGTTTTCATTGCAATATGAGAGTTACCCCATTTTCCACGAATGGAACTAAACATCTACATGGAGCAAGCACTGGGCAGAGTCTATGTGAATGTGTGCACCAGTCACTTAACAATATGAAGTCACTTTCTGGTGCCCGCTGCAGTCACATGTGCAAGACAATTACCTTCAGTTGTATTAGGTTCAGAGCAAAAAGTGACAATGGACTTCTTGTGTGGACAGACAAGGTAGTCCATTCATAAACAGCATGCAGAGTGACTCAGACTTCATGGCCCAGTTTGTCCAGGTGTCAAAAAGCACTCTATATTTAAAAGCCGAGGCATCTCAGGGTGTGTTCTTCAAGGAGTGTCCGTTTGCTATGACCCTGACCACTCCCCGCACTCAAAGCCATTTTGGAAATGCCAGCCAAGGTGAGTGTGATGCCCTGATATCAATCACAATATCTACTATGACGCTGTCCTCCCAATATAAAGAGCTAAAATGTCAAGGCAGTCAGGGGGTGTCAAGCTGCAGCAACAGGCCACCTTTGGAAAGAAAACCAGAGCATCCCTTGGGGGCTAGTTGACATTCTTCATGGCCTCTGTCAGGACATCTTCTTCTACCTGTCTTTTCCCGACTGGGCACCCTGTAATTTCCAAAGCGCTGTATTGACTTGTGATGGACTGACATTTCTTCCTCAGCTCTTAATAACTGGAGGTCAGAAGTAGAAATAAAGGTCTTTGGCATTTACAGTCCTTCAACAGGAGGTCCCAATCCTTTCCCATGAATGCCATGGATCTTCACCTTAACTTTCAAAAGATAGCAAGTCATGATGGCCCTCCAGCCAGCTTGGCAATGTGCTGCATCAACACCCTGGTGTCCGAGAGATGAGCATGGCCCATTTGATCCTGGAGGAACCGAGAACTATGCTATGTACCACGTTAGATATGGTCTCTCACTACAAGCTTGGTTGATGCCCTTGCTTTGTTGCTAACCCACCTCTCCATCCACCTTCCCCAGGTAGGCAGATGGACCATTCCAGCACATCCTTTCTCACTTACACCCCTCCTGGTGTTCTTTTCTTCTCCTCACTTCTAACACATGGTAAAGACCCACTGTCTTGCACACTACTTTGCCCCGATGGTCCTTAAATTAAAATGACAGTATCAATGACAGTCATAAACATAAAGTGCTTCTGCCACCAGGGTTGTGTTCCTAGAGAAATAAAATCTACTTTTTAGACCACAATATAAAGCGGCAACATTCCAGATCTTTGCTTGCTCGTGTTTTGAGATTGGATTTCATAGCCTAACCTAGAACTTGTCATCTAGCCCAGGCTGGCCTCAAATCTGCAGTGTTCCCACCTCTGCCTACTGAGTACAGAGGTTACAGATGTGAGCTACCATGTCCAGCTTGATTTTGTGAGACTTGATTTTGTGAGTCTTGCCTCATAACCCAGGCTGACCTGGAACTGGACATCCTCCTGCTTCACCTTCCCCGGTGCTGGGATAACAGGTGTGTGCCCATGTGTGTTTTAAACTGTTCCTGTTCACAGACTGCATTTTTCCATCGTCCACAATCACATGTTTTTGCTGAGTTTGGATTATGAGCTGTGAGCACCGGCCAGGAAACCTTAGAAGGTTTGCGGAAAGTCTCTTCCCTCCTGGTTGGCAGGTCCGTAAACACTTCCTTTACTGTGGAGACTGTCTGAAAGGGGCTTCTGTCTGTGTACCTCTGTTCTTGCTCTTTCTCATTTTGTCAGGGTTAAGAAAGAAGATGAGAAGACCATTGCCCTTGTGTGAGTTTAGGAGTATTCCCTTCTGGATATCTAATCAAAAAAATCCTGGCTTCCTCCATCATAGACTCTTAAACTATGTCTGTCTTTTAACTCTGATAACCAAGACTTAAACTGTTAGACCAGTGGTTCTCAACTGTGGATCACGACCCCTTTGCAAGGTTGTCGAACGACCCTTCCACAGGGATTACCTAAGACCATCAGAAAACACAGATATTTACATTACAATTCATAACAGTAGCAAAATTACAGTTATGAAGTAACAATGAAAATAATTTTATAGTTGGGGGTCACCACACCATGAGGAACTGTATTAAAGGGTCACAGCATTAGGAAGATTGAGGACCATGGTGTTAGATACACTGGCCTTAGCTATTTCACAGTTTGCAGAAAAAGCAGGACCTCGCCCACACACACACTTGTGATTCCAGGTCAATGTTTCATCAGCAAGATTGAGCAGGAAAGGAGAGAGGCTTACCATCCGGCAGGCACCAATGTTCTTTGGTTTTAAAAAATGAAAGAGACATTCTATTTGGTCTATTGTCAGCAGGGAGAGGACGGACACACAGCTCTGCTATCTCACCCTCAGCAGCCTGAGGAGATCCTTTAATCTTTTAGGGACCTCAACTCAGGCAAACCCAGAATTAATGACTTTGACAGAGAAGAATTTCAGGACTAGACAGTATGATGTAGAGTTGCTGATTTTAATGAAAATATTTTACTGTAGGCTCTAAACATAAGGGTTAGGAGAGAGGGGCACTTGGGAAGAAAATAAGACATACCTAAATGTGGATATTGGCTTCCCACAAGAGAATAGCAAAAATTATGACACAGCCAGATGGTGGTGGCACATGCCTTTGATCCCAGCACTTGGGAGGCAGAGCCAGGGGGATCTCTGTGAGTTTAAGGCCAGCCTGATCTACAGAGATAGTTTTAGGATAGTCAAGCCTACACAGAGAAACCCTGTCTCGAAAAACCAAAAAGGAAAAAAAAATTAAGACATATCCAGGCATGGGTATGGGTTCCTCAAGGGAGAGTTCCAAGTAGGGGTCTTATGGCTAGCCATATATGCCATTTTGGTGGCTCTCAACTTATATCTCAGAAGGTGCTTAGAAATCCCCCCTTCTCTCTTTCTTCTGATAAATGAGCTTATAAGGCAGCTCTGGAGATGCCTTGAATGGAATTATAATCTGATGAGGTGAAACCAGGAGCCACTAGGGTTACCCAAGGCATTCAGGACATCTTTCCCTGGAAATGAGGTTTCTAGTGCGATTTCTAGAAAACCATGGGTTTAGAAAATTTAGGGAGCAAAGTTGTTGATTGTGCTGAAGTTCTTGTTCCTCTGCTGGTGAGAGACCTCAACCAGGCTCAGAAGTGAGAGGCTCCTTTCCCTATCAACAGCCCATAATTTTCCCCATCTTTCTGTATGGCGCCACTATTATGGGTATTGTTAAAAGAACGTCTATTTCTGTCCCCCTGTTCTTGGTCGTGAGCATGTGCACATATTCAAAAGAAGCAC